GGCTTGCCCTCCGAGTCCACGAGCGCCGCCATGTTCGAGATGTTCACCGCCTCCGGGCTGCCGTACTCGATCAGCGCTCGTCGTTACGCTGTACGCCCAGGCACATACCGTCCTCCGCACGGCACAAACAGATCCGCCTTGAACCTCAGGTGGGCCGCGTTCCTAAAGTCTGTCCCGTCGATGACCAGCTCGCCCGCTGCCCATCATCCTATTAGCAAATTTGCAGTCCACGATGAGGAAAAGAGATTACGCACACGGCAGCTTGACGTCGTGCTCCTCAACCTTGACGAGGTACCCGTCCTTGCCGAGCTTGGTCTTGTCAAAGTTGGCGACGGGCACACGCAGCTTCGCGAGGCGCACGAGCTCCGCGCGGTCGAGCCCCGCCGGGTCTGCGAGCACGCCGCTCCCATCGATGATCGCCACCGTCTTGTCCTGGCTCAACAAAATCTCATCTGCACGTTGTCAACCTCCGCAAGCCGCTGCACACCGGAACGAGCAATACTCACTCGATCCCAAATCCCCATCTGTAGAACACGACGAAATCAGCACAGGTACTAATGATTGAGAGAAAAAAAGACAACGCACCCGGCCCGCCCGTCTGCACCTTGGTGATATCCTTCTCGCGGAGCCCAAGCTGCTTGTAGATGCCCAGCACATACTGCCGGATCGACAGCGACGTCATCCCGTACGTGTCGTGTGGCACCCCGCCGAGCGTCTCGGCGCTCTTGCCCGTCGTGAACGACTTCCACCACGTCTCCGCCCCGCGGTCCCGCGCGTGCACTGCGTTCAATCCCGTTAGCCATCATGCCAGTCACAGGGGAGGAGAGCACTCACGCGCAGCCCAGTCCATCATGTCCGCCGTACCCTCTGCGCACACATAGAATCAGCAACGAGCCGACCCGGGGAAGGGAGAACGCACCATCCGGCCCGAAGAACAGCAGCTCCGGCTTGCCATACAGATCCACTAGCCGCTCCTTGATCCCCGGCGACTGGCCCGGGATGAGCAGGTCCACGATACTCTGCCCCACCGTCAGTCTTACGCTCGGACTCCGAAAGAAAAGAGACGGGACGCACATCAACGTACTTCTCGAAGCACAGGCGCGGACTTGCGCCGAGTCTGGCAGTGCGAATTAGGATGATTTTTTAAAAAGGAATGGGTGTAAGCAAAGAAGCGAAAGACGCACGACGGCAAAATCGTCCCCTTCGCCCCGCCCTCGGGGATATCCTTGTTCTTGAGCGACTGCGTCGACGCGAGCCCATAGTTCTCGTCAAAGAGCATGCGCTGGTTGATCGAGTAGTTCCTGCAGCGTGTCAGCGCGCGGGTCCAAAAGAAAGGGAAGCGCGAAACGCACTCTTTATTGCGCGACATGACGATCCGGATCCCCCCGCGCGCGACGTCGCGGAAGCGGATGTGGAACCCGCGGAACTCGTTGCCTGCGCGTCGTCAGTCAGCGGTGTGTTCATCCCGCAACAGAAGAGAAAAGAACGGAAACGAGCAGCGTGCGACTCGCCAAGAACGCAATGCCTCATATTTGTGATAGAGAAGCCGACTGACCGATAACGATAAACATCCCAAACGGCTTCTTTGGGTACTCAACCTCGGGGAGGAAGTCGGGCGCGAGGCGGAAGCTGAGCGCAACCTTCGTCGGCTGGTAAAAGTTCGTCTTGAGGATGTGTCTGTGTGCGCGCGTGTCAGCGCGTCTCTCAACACTATCGCCGGCCCTCCGCTCTTCTCTTCGCCAGCGCAACCAAACGGGCGGGCGGAAGAGACATCGAGGGAAGAGGGAACCCACTTATTAAACACCAAAAAACTCTCCAACACCTGCAAATCGCCCTTGTTCGGCACCGTCCGCCTCAGCTTATCGTGCAGCTCCGCGTCGCTCAGCGGCTGCGCGGCGGTGAGGCGCTGGTACGAGAGCGTCGGCATGAGCTGCGCGGCGTCGTCCTCGGGCGACGCGGGGTAGTGCGTCAGCGCGAAGTTGACGTAGAGCAGGCGGATCTGGGTGGGCGGGGTTAGTATGGAACGGTGATGGGGCGGGGCGGGTGGGTAGGAGGGAGCGGGATGGGGGTGGGTGGTGACGGGGTGGTATGTTCAGAGGGGGATTTATAAAATATCAACGAGAATCGGCCACCCACCAGCTCCGGATACGCGCTAATCACACCCGCAATGCTCTCCCGCGTGAACGTCTCCTCACGGAAGCGGCGCTTGATGTCGCTCAGGACCTGTGTGCGTTGGAGTTAGCCCTCGTTCGTTAACTCGTAGCGTAGTATCAACAAAAAAAGAAGAACCATAGTCTCAACAGCAAAATCGACGTCGTCCGCATATGCGTGTCGAAACAAGGGGGGGACGGGGGGAGAAAGAGACAAAGGGGAGGGGAGAGAAAGAAACAAGCAAACGAAACGCACCTCCGCATGTGCCGGGTCCGCCTCGTCGAGCACGTTGCGCAGCGAGAGGTACGCGGGCCCGAGGCGGTTGCAAAAGTGCTGCGCGAAGATCCAGCCGGCGTCTGTTCGGTGTTCGTGAGGGGGAGAAGGGGAAGAGCAGTCAGCACGGGTCAGAATGGAGATTCATGAGGAAAGGGGGAAGGAAGAAGGAAGAAGGAAGAAGGGAGAAGGGAGAAGTGAAAGAAAGAAGGAGGGGAGGAAGAAGGGGAAGGAAGGGAAGGAAGGGAAAGGAATTGATAAGACAGAGCGAGCAAAAAAGGGGAAGGGGAGCGAAAAAGCGAGAGAGAGAGGCGGGGAGCAGGAGGGAAGTGGTAGAACGAGGAAAATGAAAGAGAGAGAAGAGTGCGGTGGTCATCGCGCCGCGCATACATCCACCATCCACCATCGTGACGGGCGACAATCTATCACCCCGCCCGAGCCCGAGCCGCGCGCGTTGGCTATACCAGGCAGCGGCGGGCAGATATCCCCGCAGCGCTTCGAGCTCCAAACTGAAATCGAAAACACTCCACCGACGCGAACGCGCACACGCGAAAGACGCAATACGAACAGAGGCAAACGAAACGACACAGGAACGAAAACGAAAAGAAAGGGAGAGACGCTATACACGGAAACGCCCGCGAACGCGAACGCCCGAGGCAAAGAAACGCGAACGCCCAAGGCAAAGAAGCGCAAAAAAAGGAAGCAATCAAGGGGTGCGGACGCACCGCGAACGGAAGGGAAGACGGCGACCCAGTCCGGGGCGGTAGGTAAGTGACTGTCACCGCGGCCATGGTAAAGAAGGGTTCCAACAGGCACAGTTCCGGGAGAAAAGAAAGAATAGGATGGTGCAAAGAGAAAAGGGGGCCCCGAAAAGATCTCGTAATGAGAAAGAAGAAAACGAACGACGAGCACCCCAAGGACGGTATGAAGAAACCCCCAAAAAAGAATGACGAATCACGAACAACGAAAAAAGAAGGAATCGCGAAGAAAAATAAAAGAAAGCACATACACGCATACGTCGCCTCCTGCACTGCATGGCTGCTAGGGGCCTTGGGGAGGAAGAAGGGGTTGTCGGGGAGGCAGAAGAGGAGGCTCGCCTCCTTCATGACCTGGTAGATCGAGTGCTCGATGGGCGGGGCGGGGGTTTGGGTGCCTGAAATAAAATAAATATCAGCAGGGAGTAGAGAAGGGAAGGGAAGGAAAAGGAAAAGAGGAGAGAAAACGCACCCAAGGCACCCGCAGGGAGAGGGTTGAGGTAGAGGCTGATGATGGTGACGCCGTTGGAGAACTGCTCGACGTACTTGCGGACGGAGTAGAGCGCGTAGAAGTGGTAGAGGTTGGAGAGGGCGGAGAAGAAGTGGCGCGTGCCCGACGCGCGCGAGTCGTACGCGATGACGAGGCGGTGCTGGCGCGTCCCCTCGACCTGCGTGGCGATGTAAGTAAGTAGTTATTCAAAAAAAATGAAAGAGAAAAAAGAGACGACACCCACCTGATAATGGCTCAACACAGGCCCATAGCGGCGCTCCTTGACGGCCTGCATCGCGCTCTGGTATATCGCGAGCGTGTTCTCCGACGCCTTCTCCAAAAACACGGGATCCGAGTACGCGCGGATGTCGTCCGTGTCCTCCTTGGGCAGCGGCGGGAACGCACAGCGCGAGACAAAGTAGCACCGCAGCTGCTGCGACGCCGTTGCGCTCACCGCGCCCTGGCTGCGGAACGTCTCCAACCTATACGGGATCTCGGTGTCCAAAAACAAGTCATCTATGCGCGCCTCGCACGCGGCGCCGGGGCCCTCGGTGGAGGTGACGCCGGGGGGGCTGGTGTGGATGAAAGTCGCGCCCGCGCCGGCGTCGTTTATCTTCTCGAGGTCGATGACGATGCTCTCCTCGTGCTTGGTGTACGCCTGGATCTTCGCGGCGTAGAGGGCGATGATGTGGTCGCTGATGACCGCGGGGCTCTCGTTGGCAAAGTAGGTGTCGTCGATGCCGAGGTTGGTGTAGAACCACGCGACCTCGCCAGAGACGAGCGGCGCGGGGACGAAGCCCTTGGCCGCGACCTCCTTCTCCACGAGCGTCCTCTGCGCGTCCTTGCCCGCGAACACGGGGGTCGTGTACCCAGGCAAGTCCTTGACGAGCTTCTCGGAGCCGTTGCTGCTCAGCGGGGGGCGGCCTGGGACTTGCAGCGAAGAAGACATGGTTCAATTAGAGGGACACACAAATCCCGTGTTCCCTTTTATACTTGGGTGTCATGGGGCAGTACTTGAAACATTCCTTGCACCTCGCCTCTCCGGATCTACCGACCAGCCCTGCAACGGACCTTGCATTTCGCCTAATTTTACTTACCCCCGTCGTCGCGCGCAATTTCCCACTCAATCCTCGCAATTATCGGCCGAAAATACGCGTATCTAACCTTGCCCTCTCTACCTCCACCCCGCGGTCTACGGTCCATCCTTGCTCGAGCTCAAACTTAAGCGTTCTTTCAACCTTGGCTAGCAAAATTCCCGTACGGCCTGGTGGCCCGGTTATTGAATCTTTTTTTCCGTTTGTCTTGTTCATCCTTTTATCTCATTGAAAAGCGGCCTGGTGGTGTACCGGTAACATATCTTCTAAACTTGGGTGCTGAATAGATAGAGTAAGAGGAAGATCCCTGTTCGACTCGGGGCCAGGCCATCAGTATGAGCGCGGAATTTTTTTTTCCACTTTATTCCTCAACCTCCCTTCGTCAACTCCCATCCCAAATTCAACCAAACCAAGCACGGCCTAGTGGTGTACTGGCAACACATCCTCTCACCTTAGTAACTTCGTCACAATTTGGTTAAATTTCAGAGGAAGCTCCCTGTCCAACTAGGGGCCAGGCCAACCCCCTCTCCGCTGAGTTTTTTAGATTTCTGACCCGACCTCTTTTCGTCACCTCATCCCAAATTCAGCTAGAATAAGTAATGGTCTGGTAGTGTAATGGCAACATGTCCTGTTCAAATCGGTCCACTGCGTGATTTGTATTGGGGAGATCTTAGTTCGACTCGGGGCCAGGCCATTTAAATTTTTGGGTTTTTGTATTTCTGCTCCGACCTCCCTTCTTCACCTCATCCCAAGTTCAACCGAAGTAAGCATGGCCTGGTGGTGTAATGGCAACATGTCTTGTGTAATTATTGAGTCAGCTTGGTGTATCCCAGGAAGATCCCTGTTCAACTCAGGGTCAGGCCATTCAGTTGTTGTTTGAATGAATTTTTTTCTATGCTGGACCCAGCCTCAGACTTGTATCCCAGATTCAACCAAGTCAAGCACGGCCTGGTGGTGTAATGGCAACATGTCCTGTATAATTGAACGATGCAAAGGGTGTATTGCATGAAGATCCCTGTTCAATTCGGGGCCAGGCCATTGCACATTAGTTGTGTTGTGTTTTTTCTTTGGCTTTTAGATTTCTGACCCGACCTCCTTTCGTCACCTCATCCCAAATTCAACCAAGCCAAGCACGGCCTGGTGGTGTATTGGCAACATGTCCTGTATAATTATGCGTCATGTTTATCACAGATTCACAGGAAGATCCCTGTTCAATTCGGGGCCAAGCCATAGGCAAGGGAACAACATTTTTTTTTTCCAAATCGTCTTTTTTACAGGTCCTTATTTGTGCTGAGCAGAAGACAACTTGAGACTTCTTAACAAATCTGAGAGCCCTTCGTCGTCCAACCTCATCCATATATTATTCACGCCCCAGACCTGCTGTCAAAAAAAGTCCTCGTGCTGTACCCTCCACCAAGCAACCCTTCCCACAAACGCAATGGAGCCTCCTGCCGGCCTAGTAGTGTACTGGCAACATGCCCTCGCAGTGTCTTTTAGCACACTTGAAGTATGAGGAAGACCCCTGTTCGACTCGGGGCTAGGCCATTTTTAACCTTTGTGCCTTTTTTCCTATCAAAAAATTATTCTATTTTATTTATCCAGTCTGAGCACAAATAAGCGACTCACATTTACCGAGCGCAGGAGAAACTTCAAACGATGAATTTCAGGAAGGTTGAACTGGTCACGTGCCGTTGGTTGAATTCCATGTTGAAGTAACAGTTCAACTTCAACCCTTTGAACATCTTCGTCGGGATTCCACGTCGGCGGGATCACTTTTACGCGCTCAGGTGGGGTCATTTGGGTTCATTTTCCGGTATGGACCGTCCGTAGTATCTCCAAAGGCATCCGAGCCTCCGACTCGACAGTCGGACTCCGCCGGCTGGTTCCCTAAAATCCCACCCGAACTTGGACCGATGCAAAACATCACGATCTATGGTGAATATCGGCCACATTTTTCTGCACAACGGCCTGCTAAACGGCGTTTGGTCCCTGAATCTTTTGAGGGGAACACGTAATGACGAGGCCGTCGCTCGCAGCTCGCTCTACAACCTCTCCAATTCTGTTTCAGAGTCTATCAGTGTCATTTCGAAAATCCAGTTCATCCTGGATCCATGGCCTGAAGCTTTTAACTTTGCAACAGCGCTGCCTCTTTCCCTCACCCCGATCACCACCGCCAATCCATCGAGTAACACTCGGTCCTTCAGTTTCAGCGCCTCTTGCAACAGTTGCACGACCGAGAACCCCGACGATCCAACACCACCGCTATTCGCACTCCAAGTTGGCATCCTCCGTATAAATTCTCGCCTCCACCCCAAATGCTCACCGGCATTATCCCATCGACGGGCTCGGATCTAACGGCTTTACGATTCGTTGAATGCCGGTCCAGGGTTACTTAACTCTATGTGCTCATCCGGGTCATCCCGCCTGCCACCAATGGGGTGTAGCTTCAATCTTGAAGTCCGGCGCGATTCATTCACGACATCAGGATAGTCACCATGCGACCCCGCGTTGATAGCTTATCTCCTTGATTGCTATAATAGAAAGTATGTCCTGTATCCTGCAAGCCCTCGAATTTCCGTCCGTCGCGTCGCAACCCAATTCCCGAATATCCGGCGTAAAATAAAAATTGGGGGTCGGTCCTTCTTGGTTCTAGTACTTGTATGTTTCCTTCACTGAGAAGGAATGGATAATTATATAACAGCGGCTCAACCCATTGGGGTAATTCGGGGCGCGAGGGCGAACGCAGCGGCGCGCCGAGTGAGACCACTTATTCCCGGCCCGGACGTCTCGATCTGAACCGCAAAGAATAAACAAGACCCACTTGCAGTTTTCGCGGGGTAATCCTCTGAATCATTGACATCTCGAAAACTCACAAACAATACATGAAGTAATTCGTCACCGTACCATGCTCGAGTGCCTACCAACGTCCGTACCACCCCTTTCACGTCTTCTTCGTTGCCTTTCTGAACTGCAATCGCCGTCGCCACCGCACGCCGTTTACATCAACCAAATGGATGTCTCGTTCCCGAAGCGTCTCCGCCCACGTCACCCAGTAGCTTTGCGAAATCTGGGGCCTAAAAAGAGGATTGCTAAATAGCACCTTAAACCCTCAATACTGCACGACGTACTCTGCAAGGGGCCACTCGAAATGCGGGTGTTGGATCTCCCGCAACGCAGGAAACACTGTACGGTCGAGACCGAGTAATAGACCTTCCAGTTTTTGTCGCTCATCTCTCTCAAACCTTTTTCAACCAAAGGTCAGCCCGCTCCGTTTTGCAAGATGTTGGGATGCACGTACTTCAAGTAAATGGATGGTTTGAATATGATGCGTTCAAGGGACGTGTGTGGGTCACGCAATGCGAAACTAGCACGCTGTGTCGGACCGGTCTGCGACATGCTTTGAGCTATATGCACTCCCAACATGGAACGGAACGAACGAACGTACCGTCGTGCGGGAAGAGATCCCAAGCACCTTCAAGGAAGGACAAGTGTTGAAGATGTCGAGACCGAAATCCAGCTGGATTACCGAAACCGTCAACTCTGGAGTTTCTTACCATGCTTCTGAAAGAAGAGGTTGCCGCCGGTCGCGACAGTGTTGTACTCAAAACCGACGCTGCGCAATGAGGGAAGCCTGACGCAGTGGGATATTAGGCAACTAAGATGAGATGATAGAATTTCGAACGTACTCCACTTGCGACAGAACATCAAAAAACGAGATATCAGCTTCGCGGACAGTCAGGTCCACGAGATCATTGAATGTGGCCTCTAGGGTAAATTTGGAGGGGGTCTTAAACACAATAGAAGAGTCCCAAGTGAGTGACCGCAGCCGCGAGAACTGCGATAAGACAGCAGGGTCCATTTTCTTGGTCTTGTTAGCAATCACTCCATCGAATGTACGCAGGCTTTTTCCAGTCAGAGCACCTAAAGCCGCGAACGTCTTCGCGGACATAGAGAAGCCGGGGGCATCCAACACCTCCAGACTTGGTGTGAGAGGGAGGATCTCTTCGAACAGTGACTGGTCGATTGAGTCGTCGTAGTAGGGGATGGAAATAGACAGGCGGCGGCCGTGCAAGCCGAGGGAGGGTTGTTTCAGAAGTTGGCGCGTAAATCTCCGCATCGGCAAGGAGTCTTCTAGGACGGGGTTCTCATAGAGATATGGAATCCCGAGGCGCTGCGTCGCATGAGGAATCGAGGCCCGATGAAGGTCATGGATAACTTACCAAAAATCGTTTACACACCAAGAGGGGTAGCACGGATTTTGCAGGGCGATCATACATGTAGTCAGAAATGTCGGAGTCAGAGTCGGGGTAATCCAAAGTACGATGATCCGGATCGAATCCGAGCCCAGCATCGTGAATCACAAAACAGAGCACCCGGCCCCAAATGACATCTTCCAGCTCTGGATCAGCGGCAAGTTGCGGAGGGTAAACGAAGGGTGTGATGTTGAATGGTCTATGTTTTGTTGTTAACGGGGCAAGGAAGAGATGTACAGCAAGCTTACTCGAGGTCAATGAGAGCTTTGAGCCTAGCATTTTTCTGGACTGTGTCGAAAAACTCTGGTCTCAGGGGCCTTCGAGACTGAACCATCGGCTTAATATGTTTCAAAGATGGGTTCGCCGCGATGGTCAAGATATATAGGGCTACACGGCCGCCCCGGAAGAGCTCGCGTCTGGGGTCCGATACTACTAGGGTGTGAAGGGTCGGGGAAGCCTTCAATGCTTCGGAAATTGTGTTTGCAATACTTGAACGAATCTCATAGTCGTGATGCGGTACTTCAAACACCACCTAATGTTTCATTGGGTGAAAACAAGAAAGATGGAAGAGGCAAGACAGAATGTACCAGGTTCTTCCATTTGGGGATGGACTCCGCGAGTGCATCTACAAGCTTTGCCACCGATTTGGTGCTGTAGTACATCTGTCCGCAGTGAAGGATGACACGGACGGGGTCGATCAATGGTAAGCCACGGCACAGCCCGCATGCATTGTCGGATTTCTCAATATCAAGGGAGAGATATAAGTCCGTGAGATTCTTGGCAGTCTGCAGAATTTTGAGCATGGAAATAGCGTATCCGCCCTCTACGCGTAGCTTCTTGATGAATCGGCCCAAGTCGAGGTTGGAGCGAAGCGCGACGGCCAAGGCCTGGGCTTGGGCTTTGGATCGGATGATCACGACGTTATATACGAGAGGGGTTCCGACGCGAAGCCATGCCTTGGAAACAAGCAGGTACGCGGAGCTGGACTCGGAGGAGACGACAGTAGAGGGGGCGCGGGGAGATATGGCCGAGAACACTTCATCAGGCACCCGAAGAGCAGGATAGAGGATTTCGTGGGTTATTTCGTCGGGTATGTGGCGTGCCATTCGTGAGCGAAGAGTCGAAAACTCGACAATTTCAGACCAAGGCGCGTTTGTTTGAAGTTGTTTCCTTTATGTTCTGAGTTCGGTCCGACTTAGGTTCGGAGCAAGCCTGTCTCCGCGCCGGCAAGCCGGCGATTCTCGGAGAGAGGCTTGGGACAAACTGCCAAAAAAGGACTATGTGTTCAAAACAGTATTTCTCTCTCATTTCAGTCCAGATTTCTATGGTTAGTGCTGATAATTTGTTCCTTAGATGCCATTCCATATATTGGTACACTTATATGTATCAAGTACTATACAGCTCTTGTGCTATACATGGGTTTCGAACAGGAAGTTGCATCTTCAATTCGGATCAAACAAGTAAGATTATCTTGGAATTCTGGTCATTTTATGGGCTCTATCAATTCAGAATTTAATTTGGAACAGCTTCTCTTGCAATTTTTATCCAGAGCACTCATTAGTTCATGCAGGAAACATGATTTGTTCGCTTTGACCAGATGTGACACCAGGTGTGACAACATTGACCTATCCTCTGGGCTCGCCGTACAAAGAGTAGCAAAATATTGGGAGGAGGGGGGGGAAATTTGATGATCCACATGTCTGTACACACACTATCAAAAAATCTTGGGCATGGAGAAAATCAATAACAAAATCTCGTCGGTGGATGACTAAGCAGATCAAACATCTCAGTTTATCCACTTTCGAGCCACATACCTTGCCCTCGCACTTAAACGCCCGGGATAAATGACCCTCATTGCTTACAAGCCAATTATAATGATATGGCTTGCTCAGATATTTTATTCAGGCCCTAAACATGAGTAGATAGCGGCGATTGTATTTCCACTGATCTCGTGAGAAACACAAGTTGCACCCTCGGTTCCAGAGTCCCGGGCCACTATATTAAAATTCTGAGTTGGCCAGATGATTTGTATGCTTCTAATGTACAGATTATTGACTGGGGTCGAAGGGATTTAGGCCGTTTTTGAAGCGGCAGAGCACGCAGAACACATTGCCCTTTTTTTACATCTTGGCACAAGCCCCTTCTCAGATTGCCCTGCGAAGCACGTGCAGATCATGTGATGAGAAGGCGGCTTGTTCCGAACGTTACCTAGGTCCGACTAACAATTTTTCCCGGCTGCACGTGACCCTTGCCGGCCCTGCCGAAGTCTTTTCAATTTGGACAGTGAAACAC